CTCGACGCATTAGCCTTTAAATGATTTTTCTATAGCGTTGTACTTCCGTCTTCTCGCCAACCACTTGTACGTATAGAAAAGTAGGCTACATTGTTTCGCCTCTAATCCTTCTTCCTTTTATTCCAACCAGTTTCACAAAGTTTTAACGATTAGCATATTTACGAAAAGCATTCCGCGTCCAGCCTGCGGGCGACCGGGCTGTAACAAAGCATGGCTAAGATTAATTTTTAATGCGCCTCTCGACGGACGGAGATGTCTCTCATTGTTGATCATCTCCTCTAAATTCAACGCTAAAAACTATGCGTTATCACGGATAATCGTTATGGAATTAAAATGCAAATAGTGTTTGTAAAAGGAAAAATTTGTACGGCACGTGCACCGATGTTGTTTACATTGCATTCTGTTTTACAAAGCAAATTGGCGAAAGATAAATTACCGCCATTAATCATGTAAATTTTAATTCATAAAGATTTAATAAGCATTAATGTGTCGAATGCATTTCAATTACTCAGCAGTTCTTCATTTATGTCTCGTTATTAATTGATCCATTAGTAATATTACATCTTCGTGTGCTTTTGAAAGTAATAAAATGGACGGAAACGAAGAGAGAGGAGAAGGACCGATATACACATATCGATTAGATAAAAGATTATCATATATCCTATGAAATTTTCATTAAAATAATGTATAATTATAATAGTATATAATTAAAATAATACTAATATTATCGTGTCAAAATACAAAACAAAATTAATAAGTAAAATACAAATCTTACTAATTTTCTATATTAATATGTATATATACGTATATATTGAGTTAATAATAAACTAAATTTTATTAATTTAGAGAGAGAGAGAGAGAGAGAGAGACATAGTTCGTTGCACACAAAAAGACGCACACCACTATTGAATTAAGAATCAATCGAAAACTCTCGAACACGACGTAAAACTTGTGCAATGCGTGCATTGTCGTATTACCTTGCTCGAAATTCACTAATTCGCCTTAGTGCTCTCGTAGGAACGAGAGTCTTGCGTCTCTTACTGTATAAGAAACTCACGTCGATGTAACTTTCATCTCGCCTTGTTGCGCGCAATTTATGCGCGTCTCTCCGACCGCTCCCCGCACAATTTAAATTGGATTGCCGGCGTGGCGCGCCGGCGAACGCGCGAATTAATCTCGAGATTAATTAGCGAAAATACACTTAAACGGCCGCGATCCGTCCGCGAGAATGTCGGGCGACGGATGAGACGTGGCATCGCATCGCCGGCTGCGTGTCACACAGCCGTGAATAATCCTCTTCATACGTCTCGCGCGCGTCATAGAACGAGCGAAAGACTCGGAAGGCGCTCGCGCTTCTTGCATAACAAGTGTTCCGGATCTGCTGCCGCAGATTTCACTTGGAAATTGACATCATCTTCTTTACAATTTAATAGGAAATCATTATTTATTACAAGTTTTCAATTTGCGAAATTATAAACGTTTTAATCTCTTTGAATCTTGTTAGAGAGAGAGAGAGAGAGAGAAATTTATTCTGTCATTTATTCGCGTAAGATTAAATTAAAGAAATGATGTGCTTGTTATTTGTTTATGCTTTGATAAGGCTGTGCTTCCATTACACTCAAAAATTATAATAAAAATATAAATAATTATATTGGAAATTATATATTATATATATATATGTTGTATACATGGGTTATGAGTTAAACCGGTGCCATAATTAAAACGACGTGAGAAGTTTCGCGAGTTTCAGCCCATTACAATGAACTCTTGTGGTTGTAGCAAGACAAAGGTACTTATACGATGTATGTAATGTGGTTGCCAGATAGTCATGGATATACATTTCCACGTGCGTGTGTTTTACTCATGGATTGTGAAGCAACGTGTGAAATATGAAACGTTGTCTGTGGAGTTGAACAGGGGACGTGAACGTTCTCGGTTTCGTCAAGAGAATATGTTTGACAGTTGAAATTTCTTAAGATCTATTTCACGCCGGATCGCAAACGTGATCTAAAACATTCGGCAAATATGTATGACAATGCGTGTTAATATCAAGTGAAAGAAATGAGATTAAAAGTAGAACATCCGCGAAAGTGTTGCAGAGTTTGTACCTGTCATGTTAATTTGAGGATTTGAGATGAACGTACCATTTTGAAATGAACAGACGCGTCCGCAGATAGATTAAATTCTATCTACAAAATGCATAAAGCAGCTTTCAGTGGAATAAGCTTTTGGGCATAGATGTTAATTTTAAACTAGATAACATTAATTTATTATTTGTGTACATCTGTTACATTAATATATTAAAAAATCATTTGACACATATACATGTAATATATACCGAGAAAGAAAAAGAGAAATTCTCAATATATTATTAATATTAATAAATTTAAAATCACATTTGCATATGTTTGCTATAAAATAATAATAATTACAGACAAATAATATAACAGTTTTGTGCATGATTGCAATGTGCTTCTAATATACTATTTAATACATTGTAATTGATTGCTGTTAAAAGTTTACATGTGTAAAAAATTTATATGTTGAATTAAGTGCCTTAATACATTTTAAAGATAAAAAACCGAAAAATATATTTTGGTTTTATTACACACGCATATGATTCTTGTATTAGTTTTAATTTAACAAAAGTGTTTTTCCTAAATCTTATTTTTTTCCTTGATGTTTTTTTTCTAAAATATATAATTTTGAGATATGTGAAAGAAGAAATACTCTCGTGCCATGTCCAAAAGATACGATTTATCTCAGCAATATTAAGTTAACACATAGAGAAAACATCTCGGCAAAGTGTTGACAGAAAGATAGAGATATGTTTGCATCTATGTTTGCTTTAGGGACTATTGTGTATTGTGAAATTATAACGCATCTGGGATGTAATAAGATCTAAGTGGACTACGGTCATGCAAGAAGTGCAAACAGTTTGCAGTCATTCAGTAATAACATTCTGTATATAGTCAGCCCAGAATACGAGTATTTAAGTCAATATCTTCTAATATGTACAATAGTATAAAGAATGGAAAATATATAGATAAAATATAAATACAATATATTATCGACTATACATTAATTGGCAAAAATAATAATAAAAACATGCAAATATAAAATAATTAATATTGTTACACCAATATATAATATGCATTAAAAAAAAAATAGCTATAATATATTATGTACATTATCACATACACACACACATATAGTAAAAACGTTTAACGCAATAAAAAAATAATAACATAAATATTATATGTTCTTTGCAACAAAAACAATTTTATTACTTATAAATTTTTAACTGGATTATTAATAATGTAGTTACTGTAGATATATTACGTACTTTGTAGATATTACATTATTAATTCTAGATGTGTGAGAGAGTAAAATATTGCGGCATTAAATTCGTTTAATACTAGACAGAAATTAGTTTATTAATTAATATTATTACAGTCATTTTTGTTTATACATATATATGCTTTGTTTATATCGAAGAAATATCAAAATCTATTTTAGTATAGTGATATGTGCTTTCTAAAATTTTCTGAAATTATTACACAACATATTATGTCAACGCATTATAAAAAAAAGAATGTTACTTATATATTATCTTCATAATTTCACTCCGATTAATGTTAAATAAATGGCAATTATAATTAAAATCAAATAATTTTACATGAGAATTGAATACCATATAGTTTTGATCTATCAAATAAATCTATCAAAATATAATTATATAAGTAAGATTAAATTAAAGAAATGATGTGCTTGTTATTTGTTTATGCTTTGATAAGGCTGTGCTTCCATTACACTCAAAAATTATAATAAAAATATAAATAATTATATTGGAAATTATATATTATATATATATATGTTGTATACATGGGTTATGAGTTAAACCGGTGCTACCGCACACTTATAAACTATTCACGAGATTGCCAGGGAAGCGACAAACGGGGCAATTTTATACCCGGCGAGCGATTGCGAACGCGATACCAAAGTAGCAGAATAGTAATTGAACGATGCCAGATACACGCGATTTTGATCTCTTGCTGGATCTCTTCCGTCATAACGCGGACCACCAACACCAATCGGCCGCACACACGTTTTATAGTGCTCGATGTAAACGATGTCAGTCGTAATCCTAGATGGTCGCGCGAGTGCTCGGGATATGACGTGTGCCACATCTGTAACATTGCGTGTAATTGCGCTTACGGGAGTTTCGTTCCCTATTGTATCTTTTTGTTGAGTGATCGATCGCGGTTTGTACTTGTTGAAACGAGAAACTCATTTTACTATTATGTGTATTCGAGAATTTTTTATTATTGTAAACTTTTAAAGTGTTGATCGTTTTTCTTCTACGACATTTAAAGTGATGATAATTATTTGATACAAGGAAATTCCAGATGTGCGTTAAATGCGGAATTGTGTAACAACACCTTTGTAATTAAATCCTTTGTTAAATCGCAATCTTTACTCAAAATAGGACTTAATTGACATAATAGAATAAGTACATATTTTAGTAAAACGGTTACTCGAGAGATAAATAAAAATGTACGTGGTTATATTATCTGAATTTAAATTGTAATTTTGAGAGTTAAAACAAGACATTACAATATTATCTAATATTTCTTAAATATATTATTGATTTTATATTTGTAAAATATAAAGACAGATTAAGTTTAAGTTTAAAAAAAATATATTTTAATTCTGCCTCTCTCTATATACATATAAATATTTATATAATTATTTCGAATATCTATTTGTTACTAATTTTTTATCATAATTATATATCTTTTCTCTCCTTTTAATACATTTACTTTTCGAGATTAATTTGCAAACTAATGGATAATAGTATCAATACACATACACATAAACTTTTAATATAAAATAGGCAATAAATGAAATGAAATGTATTATATAATAATATAAATAATCATTTATTGCAGGTTAAAGATGTTTTAATTTTTGGATTATGTAATTTAAAAAGTGACATAATGTGGGCCGAGAAAGATTCATTTAAACGTAAAAGAAATATTGCTGTTACACAAGCATGGATATCGAAGGATTCGCAGAGATCACCGACGAAATATCGGAGTTTGAAAATTATATTAAAATATCTAAAGTTATATTGTCAGTATTCCAGTTTAAGTAGTTTAAAGTATCTTGCCGATTCTCAAAAAACATGGTTTGAAAGGTAACAAGATCACATTCAAAATTATATTTATTTATAATATAGTTATATTAAATTGTGCATGAATAAATATAAAAATCTCAAAATATATATAAAATTTAGAAATATACAATATTAATTATGAGAGAAATTTGGATATCCAGATAAACCCTTTTCCAATACTTATGTAAATAATTTTAAAATATATTTTAATCTTATATAAATAATTAATATGCAAAAAATTTTGAAAAGCAAAAAATATTTTAAGGAAAAGGCATTAACAATTTTTATTTTAACTTACAAAGTACGTACGTACTTGCAAGCAGTTACAACTGTGACAACTGTTAATGGAGTTGTGTATTCAAATTCTTTTCTACTCCAAGTATTCTGTAAGTTAAAATAAAAACTTTAAATGCACTTTTCTCTCGAAACAGGTTTTTGCACTTTTCAGTCATTATTTCAATTAATAATAAACTTTACGTTTTTATATTAGGTGTTTTAATATTTGAAGCGAAAAATTGAAAAAAAGATAAAAAGGAGAAGAAAAAGAGAAACCTGCCATATTTGAACTATATAATACTTTTAATGTTTATAAATTAAATCAATATAATTATGAGAAAAATTATTAAAATTTAATAATGTACAAAAACTTGTCTGTGATCTAACTTTACCAAATATTATTGCTATTATTAAATTTATATATCTAAAATATTCTGCAAAATAATTTCTGCAAATAATTTCTATAATATACATCTCTTTCTCGCAGAGAAAATATCTTATCTCTTTTTGTCTTATTTTTATATATATTTATCTAACTTTCATCAATTTAATTCTTTATTTAATAACTTACTTATCAAGTTGCATTTAGCTTGTTATTTATTTTATTTATATCTTTCGAGGGAAAG